TAAGTTTAGTTGGCATCCACCGTGTCACAGAGACACAAGAAGAAGAAAAAGGAACCAATGTTTTCCTTGTGAAGAGAACTCTTTGGATTTACTCTCTTAACAGTTTTCATTTATACCACACAGCAGCGTTAACCATAGTCATCATGCACGTTATATCCCGGTATTTATCTTATTTATCTTATAACTGGAAGTTTGTTTCTTTTGACCACCATCCTCTTAATTTTTCTCCCTCCCCAAATCACCACCTCTGATAACCACAAATCTGATATCTTTTTCTATACATTTGGAAGTTTTCTTTTCTATTCCCATATATAAGTGAGATCATTTGTCTTTCTCTGACTTGTTTCACTTACCATAATGCCCTCAAGGTCCAACTGTGGTGTCACAAATAGCAGTATTTCCTCCTTTGTATGTCCAAATAATATTCGTCTTCCTGATCCATTTATCCATCCAAGACACTTGGGCTGTGTCAGTATCTTGGCTGTTGTACATAACACTGCTATGGACGTGGAGGTGAAGATATGTCTCTGACATTGTGGTTTCATTTCCTTCAGATATACTGTCAGAAGGGGAATATCTGCATCATATGGTAGTTCCGTTTTCAAGTTTTTGAGAAACCTCCACACTGTTTTCCACAGTGGCTGCACCAATTTACATCCCCACCATCAGTACACAAGATTTCTTTATACTGCACATGGAAGCCGGCATTGTTATCGCTTGTATCTTTGATGTTAGCCATTCTAACAGGTGTGAGGTGATACCTCATTGTGGTTCTGAATTGCATTTCCCAGATGATTGGTGGTTTGCAGCTGCTTTTCCTGCCCGTTGGCCATTTGTATGTCATCTGTAGAAAAATGTCTATTAACAGCCTATACCCATTTTTAAATTCGATTATTACTTTTTTTTTTTTTTTTTTTTTTGCTGTGGAGTTGTTTGAGATCTTTATATTTTGGATATTAACTCCTTGTCAGATATACGGTTTGCAAATATTTTGTCCCTTTCCATATGTTGTCTTTTCACCTTGGTGGTTTCTTTAGTGTGTAGCTTTTTAGTTAGATGTTGCCCCACTTGCTTTTGATTTTGTTGTTTTCACCTTGGGTGGCATATCCAAAAATGCATTGCTGAGACCGAGGTGAAAGAGCTTTCTTATTCTGTATTCTTCTAGTAGTTTTAGTTTCCACTCTTACAGTTATGCCTTTAATCCATTTCAAGTTAACTTTTGTGAGTGTAAGATAGGAATCCACCTTTATTTTTTACGTGTGAAGAGTCCATTCTCCCAGCACCATTTACTGAAGAGGCTGTCTTTTTATCCATTGAGTATTCTTGACTCTGTGTTCAAATATTAGTTGACCGTACACGCATGGGGTTATTTCTAGGCTCTCGATTCTGTTCCGTTAGCCCATGTATGAGTTTTTATGCCAGTAACATGCTGTTCTGATTACGCTAGCTGTGTAATATGGCTAGAAGTCAGGAAGGGTGATGTGTCTTCTTTCGTCTTCTCTTTTTTTTCCTCCAGTCTTGTAGAGGTTTATCAATTTCACTGATTATTTCAAAGTGGCAACTTCAAAAACAAAAGTTTATTTATTTAGCTGGAGAGATAAAGCATGCACATGCAGGGAAGGGGCAGAGAGAGAGGGAGAGGGAGAATCCCAACCAGGATCCACGCTGTCAGCACAAGCCTGACATGCAGCTTAATCCCACAAACCTCAAGATCATGACCTGAGCTGAAATTAAGTGGCGGATGCCTGACTGAACCCCCCAGGCATCCCATCAAAGAAGCAGCTTTTCATTTGAGTTTCTCTAATCTGTCTTGCTAGAAATTTCATTGATTCCTGTTCTTACATTTTAGTAAAATTCTTATTGCTGCTTACTGAGGATTATGAAATGATTTCCAAAGGGTGGAGCATCCTTTTTAACTAGATGAAAGCCAGTGAAAGTTGAAAGGGATGTGTCACCGTGGTGGAAATGCATAGGTTTTAGCCAGTGTCTCCTTTTGAAAGTACATGAACACTTATGAGGAGGCCACATGCTGGTCACACATGGAATGTTCTTAAAATTTTGCTTGAAACGGTTACAAAAAGTCAGCAGGGTCGGCTGATGTGGCATCCTGTTTCGGGCTCTGAACTGGGATTCTCTCTCTCTCTCTCTCTCTCTCTCCCCCTGGTGTCTCTCTAATCTTGCTCACTCATGCCCCTCCTTTCTCTTTCCAAAAAAAAAAAAAAAAGTGGGCAGGGGATTAACATGGTTGACTGCAGCGCGCCATTTTGCATTACCTGTCATGTGGAAGCAACGATTGATCTCACGCCTGTGGTCCTGATTATATGCCATCCGAATTCTGGGCTTGGAAATGTAAACTCTCATGGAAAGCCCAGAACCATCCTAGGGAGTAGGGCTCTTTGTTATGTATCCCCATTTAACAGACAGAAAGCCTAGGCTCAGCAAGTTAACTCAGATGAATAATAACGGAGTTTTCTTTCTTCTTTTATCACCATCTGGTGCAGTCTGGGTTCTTCTGGCCACACACGTCCCTTACTAGCTTCCAGCTCGTTGACAATTTCCGTCTTCACCTTGCTGTCTAGAGGAAGGGCCAGGTGGAGCTGTGAGCACGGACCGCACCTCCATGGATCCGCTCCAGAAGTGCAGCTCAACACTGATTTCTGAATCTTCCCCGATGATCTCTGAAGAGACCTCCCAGGAAGCCATGGCAGCCTCCCCTCCTTCCTTCGCAGAACTGCTGATGGTGGGCCTGGGTGATCTCAAAACCAGTCCTGGCACCAAATACCCCGCCCCTCTTCCAGAGGGGCTGCTCCAGCAGCGCTACAGAGATGACAAAACCCTACAAGAGAGGCGGTGGGAAAGGTCAGCGTCGCCTCAGAGGAAGAAAACCCTTCTGGGGCACATGAGACGGCGACACCTCGATCAGGTGGCACCTTATCGGGTTGAGAGGAAAGCCAGGATCTCCTCCTCAGGCGATAGAGATCAGAACAGATTCAGATGCGAATGTCGATACTGCCAGAGCCATAGGCCCCATGTCTCTGGGACGCCTGCAGAGAGGAAAGGGGCCCCCCACGCTTCCTCCTGGGAGACGCTGGTGCAGGGCCTCAGCGGCCTGACCCTCAGCCTGGGCACCAGCCGGCCCGGCCTGCTGCCCGAAGGGGTGCTCCAGCAGCAGGAAAGAGACGAGGAGCTCCAACTGGAGATGCAGCAGGAGAGCAAAAGAATGTTTCAGAGGCTCCTAAAGCAGTGGTTGAAAGAAAACTGAGGCGCTCATCCTCGCGTGACAGAGGTCTGAATGGCTCCAGACGTGATCCTCGGTGTGGATTCCTTTGGGGGACCGGTGAGCAGCCGACAGAGAAGCGACAGGAGCAGCCTTGATGACTGAAACTTCTATCAGTGTGAGCCCTCGCCCAATCCCGGGAAGGTCCTGTCTTTGCGACCTGGAATTCATGGATCCCCAGAAAGTGGGGCTTTCTGTGGGACACCATGTACCCCAGAGGTCCGTAACTTCTGTATTACGGCTCCCGTGATGCATGTTGTCACCTTCCCACCCCAGACTCTGTCTCTCCTCCCCGCCTTGTTGTCAGTGCGGTAGAGAGCTTCCCTGTAGCATGAATGGCCTGTTGATGGCCATGTGCTTTTGTGCCATTTCACAGACTGCCTCCCAGCAGCAGCACTGGTCTGCTGGAATGGACGTGTGCTGAACAGAGATCCACTTTCAAGAGACTGATGCGAAACGAGGTGCAGAAAGGGACGTGGAACTGGAACTTGGTGGCTCACCATTGTGCTGTGTGTGTAAGCCGTTATGAACATGCTGAGCTAAATGTAGATCAGTGTTTCCCTGCTTTATAACACGGATAGTATTCCCCTCGAAGGATTTTGTGACCCGTTACCTCACCATCCTTGCCAAATAAATATACGTATAAAAAAACCCCTAACGTTTGCATTCAGGTTCTTTATCCATATTGGGTTGTCCTTTGTCAGGTGGGAGGTCGCTGCATTTAAATCTAGAGCCACAGATCACAGTTTCTCAGGAGGTTTGGAGCCAGGGCTGGGGAGGCCCCCAGGGAACACCACCGAGTCGCCGTCTGCAGCCCTGTGGCACGAGCAGCCTTCGGATCACCCAGACAGAGCAAATGGAAGGGAGTCTTCCTGCCCACCGAGAGCTGGAAGCACAGCCCGCGCCCACGGTACAAGGTCCTGGGGGATGGTGCCCGCCCCCCTGGCCTAGCATCTCAAGGGGCCGTTCCTTGTTGCCCTGTGTCCCTGGGTTGGGGGATGTGAACAGCAGGTTCATGCCTGCATCAATCACATGGAGTCATTTCAGAGTTCTTTTGGGATTTACACATGTGCCTTTTCATTTCAGGAGGCATTAATGAATCGATCCACCCTCTTCCTCCCCACACATACAATGCCCTGTAACCCAGGAAGTGCCCGTGCAATCCCTCCGAACTACAGAGAAACTCTGCCTGCGCTCGGTCTCCGTACGTAGGCAGTCCCCGGAGCTGTGTCGCTGCAAACATCTGTGAGTGTCCTGAAGACAGAAGGGGCTTGAGAGCAGGTATGTTTATTATGTTCCGAACGTGTCATCTCTCCGGAGAGCTTGGAGCTCAGGTGCCCCTGCCACGCTCCTCTCCCACTTGACGGGAGGAGGTAAATAAAGCAGTGATTTTCTTCCTCTAAACTCTGAGGCCTAAATTCACGCTGATCGTTCGGCGTGTGGTTAGCAGGATAACATGTGCATTTCACTTGATTGATCCTGTGCTAGATATCAGACGGTATTCTGCATATTTCCATGTATCAGCTTACTTAATCTGCTCCCAGAGACCCATCGTTCATCAAGACTTCGGTCTCACTTTGTGTGTGAAAAGCAGAGTGCGGAGAGGTCAGGTGACTTGCTCAGTGTCACACAGGCACTGAAGGGGAGGGTGGCAGGCAAACCTAGGTGGACCGGATTCAGAGCAGGACTCTTAACCAGCTCACCAGCCTTAACCTCCATAAAGGTCAGGGGTGAAGTGCAGAGAAGCGGGAAGCCTCAGGTCTGGTAAGATGCCTCCAGGGATCTTCCCCATAATGCACTGGGACAGGAGCAGTCCTCCCCACCTGGCAGAGTTCAAGGAAATCATAAAGACATGGCCTTACTGCAGCAGCCACACCAACCACAGACAGGCGGTTAGCCACCTGTGGTTTCACCCCTCCACACTAGGCTGGCCGCTGGGGTGGGGAAGTTTGGAGTAATCGCAAGACAATCCCAGCCCTTGGGATTGAGCCTTTAATCAGGGAGAGCTGTGACGCTCACACATGTGGCAAAGAGCCATCATGGAGCCCCTTTGTGGCTCCGTGGCCCAGAGACAAGAGGGGTGGGTGGGAAGGAATGCGGCGGGGCAGTGGGGATGTGGGGCTTGCTGAGGGTGCTCCTAACCACACTTACTCATGGCCTACATGGGGGCACAGGAGGAATGGGTGGGCTGGTGTAACTGACGGACCCAGTGGTGCCATCCCATCCCGCCTCAAAGTCATTGGCCCCTTGCCCACATACCGAGTGTATCTGGGCATCCCGTCTGAGTCAGTACACGGTCCCAAGTTATAGACTAGGAGATGGAATCCAGTAATGTCCAGAGATGTTCAGCATGCCAAATTCTACATTTTCTAATGTTGATTTTTGAGAGAGAGAGAGAGAGAGAGAGAG